TCTCCCTTCCAGTTGTGTTTATTGAGCTCTTCAATTATTTGCGATGATGTTTGCAGGAATGCTTTTCTATTGACTTTGTTAAAATTTCTGGGAGAAATTTACACTAAGAATTATATTTTATTATAAGGTTTATTACTAACATAAGCAACAGTATTTCTTAACTAATCTATTAAATATTATTAATTTCAAAAAAAAATTTTTTTTTACATTTTTTGGCTTTAAACTTGTAAACTTGTTATTAGAATTCTTCTATATCTAACAAATTACTTATCAGAGTATTGCGTCTTTTCTTTTTTAAAGAAAAGAAAAAATAACTTCGTCTTTTTTATTAATATTAAGATAGGAAGGGAAATAGTTTCAATAATCAGCTTTATTGATTTTACTTTATTAGAAATATTTTCTTATCTGAAAGGCTGTTTAGGGGATTACAATTTGAAAAATAAATAAAACTTTATTGGTTAGGAATTATTTTAATATCTTAAAACCTATAGTAGGATTGACAATTCAATTTTTTAAATAATATTTAACTTTAAGCATATTCAAAAAAATGCAACACTTCTAAAGTTAAGTCTTTAGCTGAGTTTTTCATTCTGGTAAACATTATCAACCAAGTAGTTTTATTATATATAAGAATAATAAGTATTGCTAGTAAATTATTACTCTTTTAAAAGAGAGAATCATATTAAAATTCATGTTAATTAGTTTATAATTTGTGATCCTCTACAAACTATAAATTAAAATCAAAAAACCTATAGAAAAAAATATTCTGTTCACCTTGTTTGTATTAAAAAAAAAAATATTAAATTTTTTTATATTTTCAAAATATTATTGAATATGAATATAATGTAAGAATGTATTAATTATTTACTTATATATAACTATTATGTCTTATAGTAAACCTAAGGTTCTTATATAACTTAAAAAATATATTTTTAACATATATTTCTTGTTTATCCTTTTCTTTTATATGTAGCTATTATCTAATCCAAAATTTGACCAATTAATTTTTAGCAAATCCAATATAATCAAATTATTAGGATCAAACTAAAATAGACAAAATTCTTCAGAAAAATGAAAATTTTTGATATTGTTATAGTGTGATACGGCGAGTCTGTCGCTTCGATCTGGTCTACGCCGTGTAACGGTCGTAATTCGTCTTCCTTTGAAATAGGCGTGTATGTTTTTGGTCGAGTCTATGTTGTGGATCTATTAATGTATTAAGTTCTATCGAATGACCAACCTTTTCTTCATTGCTTTACTTGTCACTTTTATACTTCTTTACTATATACTTGATATACCAAATATACTTGATATACTTGATATACCTAATATACCTGATATACCTAATATACCTGATATACCTAATATACTTGATATACCTAATATACCTGATATATCTAATTATCATTTCCTTATTTATCTATCTTTTTGTATTACTATTTTTACCTCTAACAATATACAATGAGAGAGAAACTTAGGATCTAATAAAATTCAACTTGAAAACAAAAATCTGTTATAATATATTCTATAGTAAACTTTAATTCTAGATCTGTTTATCCTTAGAAATAGAAAAAAGAGAAGAAGCCAAGAATACAGTTTTTCTTTTTAAGAATATCTTTCTTGCTATAAAAAATTCAGATTTCTTTAAACTTTTAAGTAGGATAGTATTTAATTAGAAGATAAGGAAAAAAAAGATAATAAAGAGATGAATATAAAAACTCATATTTTATCCAGTATGGTATTTTAAAAAAAATATATAAACTTTTTAAACAATTATAAGATAAGATAACTGCTAAATGTTATTTTAAAGTGGTGATTAGAGGATCAGTGGAAAGAGTTATATATAATATTAATTAATATTTATAAATTAAATTAAAAAATATAGATTTTTTTTATAAATAAATATCATTTCTTTATTTAATTTATATATAATAAAATATATAATATAAAAAAAAATATTTATTATATATTAATACAATAAATTACATATTAATTTATTTATAGTAATTATATAAAAAATTTTAAAAGAAAATTTTAAAACAATATATTTTGCTATATAATATTGAGCAATTATTAATATTTACTTAGTATTAAGAAAAATAGTATTTAAAAAAAACTATATTAGATTTTGAATATACTTGAAATAATTATATTTATAATATATTAAATAAAAAAATTAATAATTATTGTAGACAAGTCAATAATGATTTTATTTTAAGTAATATTGAGGTATAAATAAAGATAGATCTTTAAATTAAAGATAAAAACATAATTAAAATATCCTTTACTATTAAAAAAATTTTTTTAAAAAATATAAGATCAAAAAAAAACTATTTATAATGGTTTTTTATAATTTAGATTACTTGAATCAAGTATTTTTTAAATTATATATCTATTAAAATAATAAATAATTAACTATATCCCTTTAAAAGGAATATAATTAATTTGCAAAATTTTATATACTAAATAATTTATGGGCTTATTCTTAGGTATAAATTTTTTGTAATAATAATATAATTTTTTTTGAATATAAATAAGTTAATAAGATATAGGTTTAAATTCTTCAAAAATTAATTTAATTATAAATTAATTAATATTTACAAGTATAATTACTAATCTATATAAAAATTATAATCTGATTAAATATTTAATATAACTATATTATTATAAAATAATAAAAAATATACAGTAAATTCAAAAACTAACAAAATATTATTAAATATTAAAAAAGATCAATAAAATAAATTAGAATTATCAATAAGTCTACTAATTTTTTAAGTATATAATTATATTTGCTTTTATAAATTTAACTATTAAAAGATTTTGATAAAAAAAAATTTATAAATTATTTTAAAAAATTAAAATTAAATTTAAAATATTAAATTTAATAACTTGATAATTAAACTATTTTAGATAAAAAAAATTAAAAAGAAATTATATATTTTTTAATAAAATAATAATTATATATAGTATTATATAATATAAATATATAACTACTTATTTATTTATTTAAAAAAATTTTTTTTCATATCTAATTCTTTTTTTAAAAAAATTTTTTTTATAATAGTAATTCTTCAAAATTAAAAAAATAAATATTTTTTTTGCTTTTCAATATTTAAAAGTCTTTTATATTTTTTTATCTTTATTATAAGAGTCTTAAGAAGATTAAAAAAGTATATTGATATATTAAAATAAAAACTTTGATCAGAAAAAAAACAAATTTGAGAAACTTGCTTTTTTTAAAAATTATATGAAAAAAAATATGTAGCAATTACTTTTTTATAAATTTTTTTTGAGATTCTTTTTATTTTTTATTTTTTCTAATATATAAATTTTTTTAAATAATTATATTTTTTATTTAAAAGATTTCTTTTTAATTTAAAAAATTAAATTTTATATCAATTATTTATAATATTAACTTGAAATATTAACAATATATTTAATATTTATTTCTTATTATTATTTAGTACATCTTATTGCATTATAAAAAATCAAAAAATTTTATTTAAAAACTTTCTTATCAAAAAATTATAATTAATTTATTCTTGTTAATTTATACTTCCAATTCAATTAATCAAAACTATCAAATATCAAAACAAACTTGTATGACCAATATATTTTATAATGATTTATATAAACAAAACTTATTCTAGTAGCAATAATTAAAACAAAATCATATCACTGATAAATAAATCAATTACTATATAACTTATAAATAAAATATTTATTATATATTTATATTTGAAAATATAAAAAATAAGTTTATTTAATAAATATTTTTTAATATATTATTAAGATATTCTTAGATTTTAATTTAAATTCTGTTTTATTTAATAATTCAATTGAAATTTTACAAAATAAAAAATAAGATAATTTTAATATTATTATTTAAATATAATAAGAGACATTAATAATTTTTTTAAAAAAATTTACTATAATAAAAATTTACTATAGTAAAAATTTGTAATTGTTTAAACAAATTTTTTTTTCAACTTTAAATTGATATTTTAAAATAATTTATTAATTAAATATTGATAAAATTTTAATATATTATTTCTTTTATTATAAATAATATATATTAAAAATTATATATATTTAATTTAAATTATTCACTTAACAGTAAAAAAAATTTAAATTATTATTTATCAAATTACAAAAAAATCCAATTCTGGTTTTTTTTGAACCAGACTGTATATTTTCTTTAAGAAGATGCATTTAAAAGAAGTTCTAGGTATATATATGGTAGCCAGTACAATACTAATCTAAAATTTTATAATAATACAATAAAATTGAAAATTTTGTTCTATATTAAAGTACTGTATTTAATTACCATATAAATAATATAAATAAATCTATTGTATAAATCACGCCAAGTCTTTATGTAACATTATAGTACATCATGTTACGTATGTTATAATAAAAGGATTCGTAAGCTTCAGATATATAAAAGGTGGAACTTTTTTCAAGTATTTAAAAAGTCGTACGTTCATATTTGCATCACGGTTAAACGTTATATTCTACATCAGCCATCCACAACTTTTGTTAGAAATGGCAAGTATCAAGGTTTCTTATCAAAATACCGTTCGCCGCTTTTTAGTTCCAAAGACCATTACTTGGTCAGAACTTGAGTCCAATCTTCGGACTTTATTCTCGCTTCCTCCCACCTCTTTTGCTCTCTCCTACACTGATGAGGACGGTGACGTAATCACCTTGTCTTCAGATTTAGAACTTCAAGATATCTTTTCTCAAGTGCAACAATCTACTACACTGAGATTTTTCCTTATTCCCTATAATAAAAAACATGAAGACAATGAAAGTAACTCCAAGCAAGTTGTTGATCAACCTTCGCAACCTTCTTTACATGATTCTCCAAACTCTCAGCAGTTGACGGTGGCGGACAGCGAACCTTCGTCCATTCCAACACCTTCGTCCGTAAAGGGAAAACAGAAAGCAGAAATGTCCAATGATGATAATTCAGACCCGTCTATATTGGATGAACAATGCAACGAAGAACAAACGAGGGCACCATTCATTGATCTAGCGACACAATTTCAAAAAGTAATTGATAAATTACGCCCAATGATAGAGCAACAGCCGCAACTAATTGAACAAGCAAACAATATCATGGACCAAATTTTGCGTAATATTCCAGTGGATATCGATCAGTGGACTCAATGGTTTAACGAGAAAGTTGCAGAGGCACAAAGAAATTTCTATAATGCTATAAATAATGAAGATGATGATGAAAAACAAATGAGTTCTGCCCAACAGCAATCTGAAGAATTGTTCTTTAATCCACAGAATGTTATAAACAATAATTCGACTCAACATGTGAATCAGGTGATTTATGATTTTCAAAACGAACAACTTGTGGATAAAAAGACAAAAGAAAAACTAGAAATATTACGTTCAATGGGATTTTATGATGATAATAGGAACAAGGAATTACTGAAAATACATCAAGGGAATGTTGAAAGGGTGGTAGAAATTTTGGTTGAGGATTCAGAATATTCGGTAGTGGATAATGAGGTACAAATGGTAGAAATTTAGTTTTTGATGAGATGAAATGAAAGTTCAATTTCTTTTTTGTGTGTTTTATCTGTAGCTTTAGCTTTAAACAAAGAAGTGTCCGTTCTTTTACAAACAGTATGATATTTTAATAAAAAATATTATTTTTTGGATGACAATTTATTTAAAAATACTATACATGTTACATAATTGTATATTCGTTTTTGAATTAAATAAAATTGAATTTTAATTTTGAAAATTAACCGTAATATACAGTAAATCGGTTAAAGTTTCATTTTAATTAAGTTATTAATTAAATTTAATCGTAAAATTTTCTTTAACATATTTTATTTATAAATAATATATAAATTGATTATTTTAAATATAGAATCGCTTCAGATTACTGTTTCAAAATTGTGTCATCAATAAATTCGGATAATTTCATAATAATGGAAACCGTCTAATTACAAAAAAACTTTTTGGTCATTTCCCTAATACATAACAAGCTACTGGACTATATATTTTTAACTCAATAAATACAAATATCATGTAACAAATAAGAAAAATTTTTTTTGTTGATAACAATTATGTATGTGTAACTAATTCATCTTTCGAGCGTGTTTTTTCAATGCATGTCGATAAATTATGTGTTTCACTCAATTCGAATTTAAAAAAAATACCAATTCTATTCTTAAATCGAATTTAAATAAGTATTTCCGTCTATTCACATGCCGCAAATATAAAAAATCCCTCTTTATAAATTGGACAGCTTGCTCATTTTCACCTCTACTACTCTCCTATATTCAAACCTTTCTTTCTTTTCTACTTAAGTTTTACACGTAGAAGATTCTTAATAAGCCCTGGCGCGTTACTATGATGTATATTTAGTGACACACCTCTTATAAAATATATTATTACACTTGCCGTTCTCTGGAATTAGAACGAAATAGACAAAGTATATAATATAGATACACCTAATACAAGTTAGCGGCAATAATATTTAATATCGCGAAGATTACTATGGACTTGTATGCCTCCCTTATGTTTTTGTCTGACAAGTTGTTTTCTTTTTCTTTGTTCTTGAATTCTTTTTATATATCAATTTAGTTATTGTGTGATACAAGTACGGCTTGAGGGTCGTGGTGTTCGTAACGTACCTGTTGGTGTTGGTTATTCACAGGGAACTTCTGTTCAGGCTGTGCTCGAAAGGGTAACTTCATTCATGATCCAAATGTATGTGTGTGTGAATAACCGATCGCATAATTTTATAACTCGCTTCCTATTCGTAATTTATCAGGCTTGTAAAAAATTAGGCATCTACGATTCTTGGAATTACGCTTTATATAGTCAACTTTTCAAAACATGGTTGTGTGAAACTCACTTACTCTCTTCATATCCTGAAGAAGTATGTATATTGACTGTTGTTTCTTCTTATTTGATTAGTCTTTCATTTCATTTCATTTTTCTTAATTTAATTGATCAATAGGATACGTTGATTATACGCAAAAAAACACCCGCATATATTGAAATTGTATATAATGAAGAAAATCCCAGGAAGGTTTGTCTTCATGTCTCGCATCATGATGATATATGCTTGTAATCCTTTTTTTTTTTCTTGTGTCAAACTAACCGTCTCTTGTTATTCAATTAGCGGCGAACGTCATCTAATACTCTAAGTCCAAATACTGCGGCACAAACAAAACGTCGAGGTGTTTTCAGCAGTACGAAAACATGTTTGAAGACTCGTTTTCAGACTGAAACCATCTATCTGACAACAATTTTGTTTGCAAGTGACGGTAAAGTTCTAATAACTTCCGGAAGTAGAATGTTTCCTACCATCGAGGTAATACGTAACAGTAAAATATTTGGAAATTTTGAGGATGACAGTGATGAATTCGCCCAAGTGATAAGAACCTCATTGGATTGGACAACCTCAGTAGATAATGAGAAAGATGATACTTCAAGTGATACGGATTCGCTTCATTCAAATTCAAGCACTGGTGATTCAACTGATTCAACACCCGCCTTCTCTCAGAATTACTACTTCTGCGACCACGATACCTTATGGTCACGTTCTTTTGCTCAAGCTGCCATAAAGTTAAAAAATGAGTTGTCCTTAGAATCATTGGGTACAATGTATGAACATGTGGTACCAATGAATTCAACGAAAGCCAAATTTATTGTGTCCATACAGCATGTTCCGAACAGTACCAGAGAAGAAATTGCCCCCGATCTGCTCAAAGCTGGAATATTGAAATGGAAAAATTTCGATGAGATCAACAACATCTATCAAAAAGATTTTCATCCGATTTGGGTAAAATACATTGAGAACTGGTGTTCGAGGCAAATAAAATTATCACCCGGACTTTATTTGGGCGTCTTATACACTGAAAGTACACTGCAAGGTATAAAAATTTTAGTACCAAAAGATCGCAAACATTTTATTCCCCTGGATAAAATTCGTGATGAGGCCACAATAACTCCTGAGGAAGCTAGTTGGATTAAATCTTTGACGTGCTTGAGTCAAGATTGTTTTATGGACTTGGCATCTTCAACTAGAACCGATGAGAACAAATCAAATTTAGGACAGTTCCAAGCTTCATTTGTAGAATCTTATCACAAATTACAACGTGATACAAATTTAACGTGGGAAGTTAGCGATATATACAACGAACAAACTGTGGACATTTATCTAGACCTACAGACAAATCAATTATACACAATGATGGGTGAACTCGATGATAATATCACCACCGAGCAATGCGGAACTTCCCACCTTGATCTATGCCTGGATCCTAATACCAAAATTGGGCCTAGGAGTAGTAGTAAACGTAGTAGCAAATTATCTCAACAGGTTGATCTGAGATTTGAGGAAAATGTGGAAAACCGAACGAAAGGTTCAACTACTAAATCAGATCAACAATATGAAGATATTGAACAAAATGAATCGATTGATTATAAAGAAGATGTTGTGTTCGTTGTTTCTGCTGATAACAGAGAGAAAGACGTTGACGGCGATATTGTTAATGAGGTCAAATATAAAGAATCTGATGATGATGATGATGAGATAAGATCAAATATAAAATCATGTGCTTCGACGGGAGCCGCAACTTCTGTCGCTGAGGAGGCAACTTTAGCATCATCAAATACATCTTTTAATAATATTAACTACATCAAACCGTTCGTTCGCATTGTTTTTGTAGTTAAACCTATGCGGCAACCTCATCAAATTCGTGATCCATATTATTCTACGCTATGTATGCTGTATCCATTTCCACTATATGATTCTTTACAAAATGCTGCATTCAATACCTCTTTGTATGCATGTTCTCGTCGCGCGATGCAAATTCTGCAAGCTAGTCGAACTTATTTCACTCATGAATTGGTTCAACATCTGCAGAAAATCGATAATTTCGCTGAGATCAATGAGCACAATGTAGACGATTTCTTCTTTGACCCGGATGAGCTCTTGAAAGTTCCTGACGATGCAAGAAAAATTCACCAAGCCCTCGAGATTATAAAAGAAGAAATTGTTAATCTTAGGCAACAATGGAATGCAGCATCATGGACAATGACCGCTATGGAGTGGGATCGCCAAAGAACAATACAAGCTTATAGTTTTGGTGGTAGACCAATGGGTTTAAACATTTCCTCAAGAAATTTATCTCTGAATCGTGCAGCTTCTGCTCAAAATGTTCATCTGTCAAATAATAGTAATGAAGAAAACGATGAAAATTCCGATCTTAGGAGCCTACGGACCAACAAAAATGATGCTGCGTCACGAATAGAAATTTTACGGGGTCTTATGTTTCATGCGCCTGATCGTGCATGGAACCATATTCGTTTCCTAGGGATTCCTTTACCAACCTTTAGCAACAATAAATTTGAAGTTTTCAATGAAGATTACAATAATAGACAGAAGAAAAATAATAAGTTATCCTCTAAAACTTCGAGGAACGCCTCTTACAAACCTCCACCACCAATTTTGATGTCATACTTATCATCAATGCCTACATTGATTCCAATGGTCCCAGAGAAAAAACGGTCGTCTGTATCATCAGCATTATCTAGTCATTCCAGTAATTCAAGCCAATCAACGACAGTTCCGCCTCTATTACCAGCTAGAAAAAAGTCTGCAGGTCATAGATTAATGAGAACCCTTGGATTTGGTAGCCGCGGGCATCAACAAAATATTGATCAACCTGAATTGCCCAGAAAGTTTTCGGATAAATTAAAAAATCCAAAGGAATCCCAAGTTCGCGAAAAAGATGGTTTTGAGGAAACAACGATCATCAATGTTCCTTTGGTCTCATCACCTCTTCTTACTCCATCGTTCCTCCGGTCTGAAGAGAAAATCGTCGACGAACCTGAAGCTATCCGAAGCGTAGATAATATAACAGAGGATGCCGATGATTTATTTTCTGCTGACGTAATTGAACATCGACAAGAAAGTGATGCACAGATTCACGTGGAATCTCAATCTGAACATAGGTCTTTTGAAATTAAGGTTACTGCAGATGAACCTATCGAAGTTATTACAGATGACTCGAAGGACGTTGCTGATGAACCTATCGAAGTTGCTGCAGATAATTTGATTGTTGATGTTTATGAAACTACGATTGTTGCTACAGAAGATATCTCGGTAATAAATAATGGAACTGTCTCTCAGGATACTGCAAATGTTGATTCCGTAGAAGTCACAAGTGAAATCGACTCAGAGAGCAACTTCGGTCATATGTCTTCCGA